CTAATGATGACTGCCAATAAAATTGAATATAAGGACGCACGTTTAGTGATACTTCCTGCAGATGCAATAACCCACAAGCCAAATAAGCCTTGCATATCCTTGGAGTCTTTTATTTTCCTTCTGTCGGGTAAGTCTTGCTGAGTACAATCGAGTACTCAGGGTTTTATTTCCCTATTACAGGTGATCAGAGGATACATAGAGCTGACTCTTATGTGTGGAAACCTCCTGGTGGGCTTAGAAAGGATTCCTTTCTCACTACGACCGTAGTGTTTATTTATAACTCTCACTAAAGGTTTTTATAAGAAAAGATAAAAAATATGCTAGCATTTCTTGTACAAAAATTTCCACTATGTTAATGCTCCACCATATTATTAAATTAATTTTTGCTTCCTCTGTAACTCTGATAACATTGTTATATTCTGTTGTTATAATCCATTGAGGTAATATTATGTTACTGTAATACAGTGATGTAAGAAATGACTTAAGAATATTGTAAGTTTTATTCTCTCATTTATGATCCTGATAGAAAAATATGGATTTTTGAGTTCTCCCTTGGGGTGTGCTCGACGGAACTGCGTAGTTTAGTGTCCTCTGTTGAGTACTTAGTATCTAATGGAAGACAAGTACTCCTAGAAGCATTAGATTAGGCGGTTCTACCACAGGATCGCCCGAGATGTCAATGTCGGCTGCAGCTAGGAAGATGGGCTCGGCACCATTGGCTTTGGATGCGGCGGTGGCAGCGGCCCCAGCCCATACCCTCGGTCGTGGTGGTTTCTCAGCGCCTACAGCTCCCTCCCTCGGTCGTGGTGGTTTCTCAGCGCCAACGGGCCGCTCTCTCGGACGTGGAGGCAGCTCAGCAGAGGCCACAACCCACCCAACCATCAGTGGTCTCAGTAAGGGCGCAGCGACGGCGCCATCCTGCAAGCATCTGTCCCCAATGTTTCATCTGTGTTTTTGGACGTATTGTTACAAGTGTGTTTATCTAGATATTGCATACGTTTCACACATATGCTGTAAGTGTTTTATCTGGATATTGTGTCGGTTTGCAATGGTTTTCAAGTATTTTTCATGTGTTTTTATATGTGTTTCAGTAGCATGTTTCAAGTGTTTTATTTGTCTTCAGACGTTGTTGCAAATGTTGAATCTGGATGTTTAAAAGTAGATTGGATGTTGCACATGTTGCAATACGCGTGAGAAGCGAAGGGGACGCAAGCGGTCCCCGCGCACGGTCTAGCGGCGCGGCCCCGCATGGGCACGTGAAACCTAGGCGCATGCACGTCCATGCTGTTTTTTTTGCGAGCGCGAGCGTGGATTGCTGGTATGAGCACAGGAAACTGCAGTACAGGCGTCCGGACACGGTCCTCGGGTCGGATGTCCAGGCGCTAGTCGTTCCATTTAAGTTGCCCTGAGCCCCTGCCTAACTCCTACATAGTGACATTGTAGCCTATGTGAGACCACGACCGAAGCAGGAGCTTAACCCCGGAGGAATAATCGAACCAAGAACCTAAGGAGACTACTCAAACCGCCTCTAGAAACCCAAGAGATAATCACTACAAATAAAAAAAACTTCGGTGAAAATATACATTCCAGACAAAAACTATTTCTATAGATCGAGAAATAAAAGACTACCAACCAAACAATCTATGGATTTAGAGACATATCAAGAAACGTCTGTATATCTTCTATTCAAAAACCAAAGAGATTAGACAAAAATCTATATATTTAGCAGGAAAAACAGAATCAGTTTCTGTCTGAATAGTCTTCGATGACAAATTCCATCCAAACAGGACATGTGTTTCATAGGGATTCTCACAACTATGCAAACGATTTTTTTTTTGATATGGCACATTTTTTTTAAGAAAATGAATACATTAGAATATCACCTAGAAATCCAATCAGAGGGCCTATCTAACAGACTACCTTTGGAAATCAATAATTCCAGGGCGATTAATAACTTTAGTGTTGTCGGGGACCAATACAAGGGTATCCGAAGAGGAGCTAATGACCATCAACATTGACTCATCCGAGCAGTCAAGAGCGCGACTACAGCTCCAACCAACCCCCCGGCACGCAAGCTCCGCCTCGCCTGACCCTTGGGTCTGCGCTCCACCTCGCCCGACCCTTGGGCCTGCGCTCCGCCTCGCCCGGCCTCTGGGGGAGGACTCGGAAGGTACCAAGGCGTACCGGCTCTATGACCCACGCGGACGTAAGGTGGTTGTCTCGCGCGACATCGTATTCGACGAGAAGGCGGCCTAGGACTGGAACAATCCGAGCACAGGGAAAGCTGGAGGCTTCACCAGCACCTTCGTCGTCGAGCACTTGGTCATCCACAGAGGTAGAGACACTAGAGAGGAGGTGCAGACCACTCCAGCAACAGAGCCGAGCACTCCGGGAGGGATGCCGAGCACTCTGACGGAACAAGGAACTTCATCAACATCGATCGAGTTCGCCTCACATCTAAGTGACATCACTGAGTTCGTGGATGCCTTCCACGAAGGTGAGGAGGTGCGGCTCCATAGGATGGACGACATCATCGGTGGCATAGGGCCCTTAGGCCTGGCGGGTCGGCTGCTCAATGACCCAGAGCTGCTTCTCGTTAGTGCAGAGGAACCACCCACGTTCGCGCTGGCCGAGCACGATGCACATTGGCAACGGGCGATGCTGGAGGAGATGAAGGCGATCAAGGAAAACGAGACTTGGGAGCTTATCGATCCACCTCTAGGATGCCGTCCGATTGGCCTGAAGTGGGTGTACAAGGTCAAGCGGGACGAGCACGGCGCCATTGTCAAGCACAAGGCGCGACTCGTCGCCCGAGGCTTTGTCCAGCGCAAGGGCATCGACTTCGAGGAAGTCTTTGTGCCGGTAGCACGCATGGAGTCTGTCCAACTGCTACTAGCTTTGGCAGCACAAAGGACTAGCGTGTCCATCACCTAGACGTAAAATCATCCTTCCTCAACGGCTAGCTGGCAGAGACGGTCTTCGTCAGACAACCTCCGGTTTTGCTGTCAAGGGAGCGGAGCACAGGGTGCTCCGACTGTGCAAGGCGCTCTACGGGTTGCGGCAAGCCCGACGAGCGTGGAACGCCACGCTTGACGCCACGCTGGGCGAGCTTGGGTTCACGAGATGCGCAACCGAGCACGCGCTCTACACGCGGCGACAGGGGAATGAGGAGCTCATCGTTGGCGTGTATGTGGACGACTTGATCGTCACCGGTGCGCGTGCGGAGGACATCGATAGCTTCAAGCGCGAGATGATGGCTCATTTTCGAATGAGCGATCTCGGCGCGCTCTCCTACTACCTTGGCATCGAGGTGAGATAGGGGAAGGAGGCGCTCACGCTCGGTCAGAGCGCGTACACCTCAAAGTTGTTGGAGCGGAGCGGCATGGCTGAGTGCAAGTAGTGCGTGACTCCGATGGAGGAGCGACTGAAGCTGACGAAGGCCAGTACCGCGGCGAAGGTAGATGCAACACTCTACCGGAGCATCGTCGGTGGTCTACGCTACCTAGTCCACACGAGGCCGGACATTGCGTTCACCGTGGGCTACGTCAGTCACTTCATGGAGGATCCCAGAGAGGATCATTGCTCTGCGGTGAAGCGGTTGCTGCGCTACGTCAAGGGGACGGTGGATCAGGGTACCACAGACCACCGATGATGCTCCGGTAGAGTGTTGCATCTAACTTCGCCATGGTACTGGCCTTCATCAGCTTCAGTCGCTCCTCCATCGGAGTCACGTACGGCTTGCACTCAGCCATGCCGCTCTACTCCAACAGCTTCGAGGCGTACACGCTCTGACCAAGCGTGAGCGCCTCCTTCTCCTATCTCACCTCGATGCTGAGATAGTAGGAGAGCGCGCCGAGATCGCTCATTCAAAAACGAGCTGCCATCTCGCGCTTGAAGCTGTCGATGTCCTCCGCACACGTGCCGGTGACGATCAAGTCGTCCACATAAACGCCAACGACGAGCTCCTCTGGTTGCTGCGCTACGTCAAGGGGAAGGTGGATCAGGGGATCGTCTTCCCCAAGACCGGCGAAAGTAGGCTGCAGCTCACTGTGTTCAGCGAAGCAGACATGGCAAGGGGACATCGACGGATGGCGGAACACCTCTGACGTGCTCGTCTTCCTCGGGTCAGCTCCAATTTCATGGCTATCGCTGAAACAGAAGGTGGTGGCGCTATCCACATGCGAGGCATAGTACATGGCGGTGGCCACAACGGCATGCCAAGTTGTGTGGCTGCACCGGCTGTAGAGCGAGCTGACCGGTGTGGAAGCTCATCCACCAGCACTGATGGTGGACAACCAGCCCGCCATCGCCCTCGCGAAGAATTCGGTTCTCCACGACCGGAGTAAGCACATCGACGTCAAGTTCCACTTCCTCAGGGACTATGTCGATGGAGGGCAGATCGTCATCGAGTTCATCGAAACTGGTCGGCAACTCGCGGACGTCCTCACCAAGCCGCTCGGACGTCTTCGACTCACGGAGCTGAAGAAGATGATCGGCATGAAGGGGGTTCTAGGGTTAGCAGCAGAATTAGGCGAAGAATTGTTAAGTAATCTGTTGCTCCCTAGTGTGAAAGCACGGCAGGGGAAGGCGGTGCCGAAAAGGCTCCCTGCAGTGATACTATAGCCGCTATAAGGGCAGGCGCCGAATGGCTCTCCTACCGCACTGTAGCCACAGCAGGGGCAGGCGCGAAAGTCAGCCCTACTGTCACATCTAGTCACTGTAGCAGCATGGTGGCCTAATATGTCTGTGTACTAGGATTAGATGGGTAGAGTTGTATATATAGTTTGCCACTGCAACTCAGTAAAGAGAGCGAGTTCAGTTTTGCTATCTCCTCTGCAGAGCTCCGGCCAACACTGGTGCTTGTGCTATATGTGTGCTCTGTTCTTCCTCCTTTCTTCTATCTCTATCCATAGTGTATGCTCGGCAACGATAGTGCGTGGTCGGCTCACCCATGCCGGTGATCCAGAGGGGCCAACAGTTGCCTCGAGGTGGAAGTTCGTATGCTAGTTTATGAGTTCATCCCAAATGGCACATTGTTTCAGCTCATCCATGGTAGGAACGAGACATTGCAAATCTCGTTCAGCACCCTCCTAAGGATTGCACATGAGGCGGCTGAAGGACTCCACTTCCTACATTCTTATGCATCTCCCCCAATTATCCATGGTGATGTGAAAACCTCCAACATCCTTCTCGATGAAAACTACATGGCCAAAGTCTCCGACTTTGGAGCCTCCGTATTAGCCCCAAGTGATAAAGAGCAGTATGTAACGATGGTTCAGGGCACCGTGGGCTACCTCGACCCAGAGTACATGCAGACATGCCAACTGACTGAAAAAAGTGATGTCTACAGCTTTGGGGTTATTCTTCTTGAGGTCCTCACCGGTGAGGCTACACTAAAATTGTACGGGCCTGAGGAAAAACGAAGCTTGACTTCAAATTTCTTGTCTGCAATGAAGCAGAACGATCTATGTGCAGTGGTGGCCAGCCACATAAAAGAGCAAGAGCGCATTGAACTGATTAGAGGACTTGGAGAGCTAGCACAGAATTGTCTTGATATGTGCGGCAGCAATAGGCCCTCCATGAAAGAGGTCGCTGATGAGCTCAACAGACTGAGGAAACTTTTGCTCCACCCTTGGTTAGGACTGAATACGGAAGAAATGGAGACACCAGCAGACACTAGTTTTCAAACAGAAAATAGTATTGTCGAGTATCCTGTGCTGGAAAGTCAGAACCTGCCCATCGACTCAATAAGTTCAAATTATGCAAGGTGACTACAATATATATAGTATTCCTTTAAGCTTTGCACATGCTGGGGACAGTGTTAGTGGGAAATACAGATTCAGTATTTAGAACGGCCATCAGAACAAGTTACATGTTTCCTCAAACTCGGTGAGGGTCATGTAATAGTATTATGTTTTCAAAGATTTAACAAGTATCTCGTCCTTATTCAGAGAACCAAGTGCCTTGTCTTGTTTTTGTATTTGTAGTTTTGTACTACAAGCATGTACACAAAAATCCATTTGCAACATCAAAATTGTTGGGGCAAAGAACGTTTGCCCTAGGCCTGTTAGGAATACAGGAGTTTAGCCACAAGATCATTAGCCTAATTACATGAACACTGATCAAACTTAGAGATTGTTTCACTGCACACCAAGCGACCTCGATCCAGAATCCAAGGGCCTGTTCGGCAGGACTGAAAAATACTGTTCTGGCTGATTGTTGTGAGAGAAAAATACTGTTCTGGCAGGACGTGAATAGTAATTCCGTGAGTTGGCTGGCCAGCCAGCCGAACACGCCCCAAATGGTTGGGAGGTATTGGAGGTGCAAAATTAAGTAATTATCTGCCCCAATACCTCCGAACCCATATTGAGTGGGGGTGGATTGGTGTGCAATGCCCATGTATATCCACCTCAAACCATGTGTGTTGGAGTGGGTTGGTGTGGAATTTAAACTAAATTTCACACCAACTCACCGCAACACACATGGATTGAGATTGATACATGAACATCCAAACAAGGCCATAGGTGGATTAGATTGCAAAGACATAGAGTAGCGCCTCCTTCTAAAGGTAACACGTGTAAATGGTCCTCACCTAGCACGTGCACACACAACACATCACCAGTCATTAGCGAGGAAGAGTAGAAGCCAACAGCCTTGAGGGCGATGCAGTGCCTACGTTAGCCTTGAGCGTTATGGTGGACTACTTAGAGGCACGATTAGAGGGCCAACCATCCCCATTTCTACGCACCGATCACTCACATTGCAATCAACGAACAAGATCGAGACCGGTATTTGTAGAATAATGCTGGGGCAACGCGTCAAACAAGCATGGCGAGCGGTTTACGAAGATATAAAACTTATGAACTGTCGACGGTCGTCGAACAAGAAATTGAACCATCTTTTATTAGAACACGGGGACGCAGGTGCAGACAAACTCTGGTGGGCAGGTCAGTGAAGGGAATCAGAAGCCAAGGATGCCATTTTATTAGAGCTGCATGTGACGACCTCGACGTCAGCACCGGATCGTGCACGTTGTTTATTGTTTTCCGTCATAAAAAAATGTTGACGATGCGCATGCGCTTTGCTTTCATCCATCCGTCCGCGTCTGGATGCGAGATGGCGGTCGACGAGCGGTGTTTGATCGGAGGGTGAGCTGGATATGGTTATATCTGACAGCAAAATATTCTCTCGCAGTATATTTCTTTAGTCTGCTTCCCAGCCTCAACGTACCACGCCAAACTATGGCTATTGTGGCGGCGGCAAGGAAAACTAACGCCACAAGTGTGGCGAAAATTACTACTCATTCTAGTTTTAAAAGTTGTGGCAGCCTAATAAGGCTATTAATCCAAACGGTAAGCCTTCATGGGTGTGGCTGTCCTAACTGCGGCTCTGACCAGGTATGGCCCGGACACAAACAGCCCCTAAATAAAAAAGTTATTATATATAATATCCTGAGTCCAAGGTTGAGGTTTCATTTGGTGAAGCATCAGCTCGGCTGCGTCTGTTCTATCGGCGTCTATGCTATCGATCTGGCAAGCAGCAAAAAAAAAAAAAATAGAGTAAATAAAGGCTTTTATTATTCCCAAGTCTTAGTTGAGCCAAGACCCATCATCATGTGCCTTATTACAGCATACTGGTAGAGATTAAGAGTTCACGAACAAGAACTCTATGTAAAGTAAAAAAAAAAATACATCTTTTAATACCTGCCACAAACTTTATACTCACACTAGAACTTACGATAAGAACTGCTCTATCAACCACCATCAACTGAGTTAGATATGTCTTCTGAAACTTATTTCAAATCCAGAAGTCCAGTATAATCTTCCTACAAATTAGCGAATTAGGAGGCGTTCTTTTGTGCAGAAAAAGAAAGAGTAGTACAATCTTTCAAGCTTGCATTTTAAATGTGCAATGTTTATAAAAGGGGAGATATAGATTTGAAATGGGATACAACAAACTAGCACACTCCCTACGACAACATAAGGAATTTGATAATATAACTTCCATTGGCGCCCATCAACATTGCTTTGTCTTCCATCTTGGTTGCATTGTCCTCCCAAGTAGCTTCTTCAAGCTGATCCACAACCACCAAACTAGAACTAATTGGACAGACTCTCTCAACAAGTGTAGGTGTAGCCCACGGGAGAACCAGAAAAGGTTTAATTCCCTGCTCCCAGTTCCAGACAAAATTAAACTATGCTTAGCTTAGCTTGATGATGCAGGCAAAACGTATTCGCTTCCGTTGATGAGCATTAGGGCCGTTGCTACTAGTACATACGTCCAAACTGTTTGAACGGGGCGGCAGTACGAACTTGAACTAGGGATATTCCGGCAACGAATGGCATGCTACTGGGCCTTTTTCTTATGGATGGATAGGCTCGCAACTGGGCCTTTGTCCCGACGTGCATCGATACGTACGGTACGCATGCTATATATAAGTCCGAGGCAGATTTGTCCCCAACCCGGGACTCTTCTTCTTGGTTCCTGCACGACACGATGATAATGAAAGCGTCGGCTTCATTCAGTCCCAGCCTGCCTCTGCCTTGTCGCATCAATGGCGGTCGACCGTCCATGTCCATGTCAGCCGGCGCAAGAACTGCAGCATCAGTGGGCACCAGCTCTAAGGTCAATCATCTCAGCATCTCTCTCACTACTCCTGATGATTCTTGTGCCGTAGCCTGATGATGTGCTCGTCGTGTTCCTCCTCTTCCTACAGAAGCCTTTGTTTGGTGAGCTCCTGGGGCACCTTTCGTCGAAGATGGACAGAGCATCGAAGGCCCTAAAGGATGTGCCGCAGAGATTTCTCGATGTGCTGGTTGATGCAACCTTCAGATTTACTGATCAAGCTCTGAATCCCTCCGAGGTAACTTGGGCAAACAAAACCAATGGCATCTTATATGCTTCTCTGGCTGAGCAAAAGTGACGACGACTATCTTGGTCTTTCTTTGCAGAGCAATTTCGCGCCGGTCGATGAAATTGGTGAAGCCATAGAGATACACCAGAATCAGATTGAAGGAGACATACCGGATGATTTCCCCGAGGGGGTGTACATCAGAAATGGTGACAGTTAATTTCAGTCTTTTCTTTTTACTCTGTCAGTCCATAAGCAGGAGATAGAGTTGCTTCTTGGCTGCTGAATCTGAATGGTGAACGATTTCTGGCATTATTAGGTTCCAATCCACTCTTTGGTGCCCTCCATTCCACGTCCTCAATCTTCGGACAATCCAGGGAGATATGGGTTGAGGGGGAGGGCATGCTCCATGCCCTCTACTTCACCAAAAACACTTCAGGCTCCTGGTCACTCTCCTATGCCAACCGCTATGTGCAGTCCGAGACGCTCAAGCTAGAGACAGCCCGGCAGAAACCTTGTTTCCTCCCTGCCATCGAGGGCGACTCTGCAGCCGTCATCGCCGCCTACATTTTCAACCATGTAAGCAAAACTTTGCAAATCCAGATTATATGCAATCCACCAGACATTCTGAAACGAGTGATCATGCAACACAGCTGAGATTTGGCAAGGTGAACAAGGACATCAGCAACACCAATGTGTTTGAGCTTGCCGGCAGGGTGTTTGCTGTCGCTGAGAACCATCTACCTCAAGAGATCTGCATAGATAACCTCGACACTGGCGGTACATGGGACATTGGTGGGGAATGGGATCGGCACGCTTTCACGGCACATCCAAAGGTATGGACAACTGTACAAGCTAAATGAATGAGTTGACAAGCATCAGTTATTGAAGCACCAATAGGCATTAGGGAATGAGAATACACTTACTATAGAAGTAATGGTACTACTGTCTCTGTAGCACTAGCACCAGCTATATCAAAGTTTATCGTAATTGACAAAAAGAAACAAGACAGTGACACAGCTGTCGTCATAGCTGGAAAATATTTCAATACGAACTGTTGCAGCAGTTTCTCCAACGACAAGGATACATGTTGCTCGTTGGTATAAATTCAACATGTAACTTCTAATAATGAATAGCTACAAACCAGAATATGTTACATCATCTTTCTATTTTTTTTGTGAGATTTATGTTACATCTTTCTTCTTCTTTGTTTTTGAGACGCGTGTTACATACTTCTGGATTCTATGAATAGGCAGACTCAACAATTCTTGTCATTCACTCATGAACTTAGGTAGCTCCTGGATCAGGGGAGCTTGTCATCTTTGGAATGGATGCAAAGAGGCCATTCCTTGTAATTGGTGTTGTCTCGGGTATTTTATTTATACAAGTTCGCAGTTTTATACAATCTTCTTTACACCATGTTCAATATCAAAAATAAGGCTCCAGCTCAAGTTCTAACTGACTGCAGCTGATGGAACCAAACTAAAGCATAGAGTTGACCTCAAGCTGGACAGATCTACACTTTGTCATGATATAGGAGTTACTCTGAAGTACGGGTCCGACAAAACATCATTTATTCCCAATGAATTTGAAAGTGAACCACATTCCTGAATTCCACTCTCTTGATGTAGGCACAATGTAATCATGGATATACCACTTACTATCGACATCAGTAGACTCGTTAAAGGTGGCCAGTAAGTAATCATGACAAACTTTTCAGTTAAAGATATTATTACTCTGCTTTATTAAATTTGCAAAAGATAATACAAAACTCCTTGGCTCAGGTTGATTCAGTTTGAGAAGGAAAGTTATGCAAGAATTGGGGTGATGCCCCGTTATGGTGATGCAGATTCAGTTGTCTGGTTTAGTGTTGAACCATTCTGCATGTTCCATCTTGTCAACTGTTTTGAAGATGGCGACGAGGTATAACAATGCTAAGAGTTGTTAGCCTGTTCCATATATCTGTAATATTCATCCAGCATTTAATTATTTTCGATTTTATCATCACTGCCAAGAACATGCCTTTGAGAACTACTCTTCCATGGTTACATAGGTTGTGGTACAGGGACTTCGTTCACCTGACTCCATAATACCAGGTCCAAGACTTGCGCTGAACAAGTGTGACTCTAAAATGTCTGAGCTTACTGAAGATGACAAGCCCATGAATGAAGGAACTACAGAGGAGTTTTTCTTTCGGCTATACCATTGGAGGTTAAACTTGAAAACAAAGAGTGTCTCAGGGGAATATTTAACTGGGACAGAGTTTTCGCTGGAGTTTCCAATTATCAATAACCAGTACACAGGCTTGCAACATAGTTATGCCTATGCACAAGTAGTGGATTCTTGTGGCAATTGTGGGAAAGGTACTGCTGAAAATTGAACAGATTTTTTATGAATTTAACACCTCAGAATCTACGTAGGAAAGTAAATAGTAACCTCCAACACAATAAGAGGAACGAAATAAAGAAACAAAAGACCATAGAGAATTCATTGGTATAGGTTACATTTCTGTTTCTAGTGATGTCATATCTCAGCTTGACTGACTACTATCTAATTTTGCAGTAAATCCGAAATATGGAGGTTTTGCGAAATTCTACCTTGATGAGAGAAACAACACAGAGGTACAAAGCATAAATTGGATTAGTCTAACTGCTCATTCCTCTGGATTCCCATCCTGAACTATGACCAAAAACAGATATCAGGTGCAAGTCCCATAAAGATGCAGTACCATTGGCTTGGTAAACATGAGTTCTGCTCTGGAGCATCATTTGTACCGAGAGTTGGTGGGTCACATGAAGATGATGGGTGGATAATTTCGTTTGTACATGATGAGAAAGCTAATACATCACAGGCAAGTTTTCTCTGCTGGATATACGATGCAATGATCCCATTCGTCGTACAAGTGATACAGGAAATATATGTTGCAATATTTATGTTTTTATGTTACAGGTGCATATAGTTGATGCTAAAAGATTTGAAGATGCTCCTGTTGCAAAAATAACATTGCCACGAAGAGTACCTTATGGCTTTCATGGAACTTTCATCAGTAAAAAATGAATAATCACTACTACAGATGGACTTATCACCACCAGGATCATTGTTGTTGATTGCTTGTGGAGCGGCGGTGGTGAGTTTCACCGTCATTTCGTAGATGTTGGGGCGAAGTTGGGAGACATACCGGCGGAGAAAAACCACTATCACCGATGGTCTATTGTTAGATCCGGCGGTAATATTAAGGCTCATTTTCTCTGCTGTATTAAATACAGATCCAACAGAGATAACCAATATGGCCGCTAGCCCTAAACGAGCACTGGTGGTCCGGCAGTCAACGTTGAACGTGACTATTGAGTAATTTCCCAACTGTTCCATCACCATTACTTACGCCAGGACCCGCGTACGTTTTGTCCGGATTCAGACGAGGATGATGAGTAGATCGGTAGCGCTCCTCTTGTCCCTGCTTGTTGTAAAGAAGACTTCATGTTTTTAATTTGTATCGTATATATCATGCATGCCTTTTGTTCTGTTACTCTTAATTCCCAAATGTACTGTGGATTTTTGTCCGTGATCCTGGTACCAAGCAGGCCGTAGCCCCCGAGCGCTTTGATCGGTTAGTGTAACATTCAATTTGTACTCCACTAGTCCCGCAATCCAAAGGGACCCTAAACGTTCTATTGTGTGCCTTATAGTTCAACACCGGATTATACGTCTATCGTCAGGGTTCACATCTTCGTAAGACCCAATCACCTATGTACTCCATTAGCCACTAGTTTGAGCCAGTGGAGATGGTACCGTGCATTCACAACTGCTTGTAAACGGTCAGGATGGTACCGCTTTCGTCAAAAATTTTCAATCCCACGCGGGGCTCCCACGCCAAATTAGAAAGTTTTGATGAAATTTTCATTCCCGTGGTTCCTACTTTTTGTAACACAGGCCCCTCCCCACTGTGTCTCCTCAGTGTTGCTGTTCCTCGTCGCTGCTCCAGCTCCCCACTGTTGAAATGGCATGACCGCCCCTACTCAACGGCGTGCAAGCCGCCACTCACCGCCAGCAAGATCGTACTCCACGCCGATACGCCTCACTGGCATGCCCGCACAGAAGCAGCAGTGACGAAGCTAGCACTCACCGTTGTGCCCGCTCAAGCTCATTGCCGCAAGATCCAAAGGCAAGGGTAATACTTTTGCACTTCCCTTATCCATCTTTCTTGGATTTTTATTCCTCTCTTCACTCATCTGATTAATAAGCAAGCTTCCATCTGATTACTAAGGAGCTAACGAACACATCCCCGCAGGCACTCCTTCTCCGATTCACATGACAGCGCCACCGCTTCCATCGCCGGTCCCGATCCACTAGATCCTTGTCAAGATGGAGGAGGCTCCCAACAAGAGGAACGAAGTGGCCATCCTCACAGACCATGTCCTTGTGCACATCATCTGCCGCCTCATCGGTCGCTCCTTGCTACTGCAAGTGTGTTGTCGCTCGTGAAACGGCCTCATCTTGGACTTTGAATCCCGTAAGGAGCTGTCCCAGATTATTGCTAGATTCTTTTATAGCAGGTGAAAAGGCAAATGCCACTTCACCAGCCTCATTGGTGAACGCCCCTCCTTGTCCTTCTTTCATATGTGCCTTGATTTATTTTTTGGAAATTAAAAAGGGAATTCTAAATGGGAAATAGTTCATGGGCTTAAACTCCTCCCTCTCCCCCTCCTTGGCCCGTAGCTGCAGCCCATCTTTTCTCTTCCCTCCTTCTTCTCCCTCTTGGGCCGCCATTGGCGCTAGGCGCGCGGCCCAACCCACACTCTTTCCCCTTCCCTCCATCTCCCTCTCTTCCCCCTTCCCTTCCGCATGGGCCAACCCAACCAGCCCTTGGCACAGCAGTGCAATAGCAGCCCTTCTCCTCTCCCCCTTCATTTCTCTCACCGACAAGTGGGACTCGCCCGTCAGCTCCTTCTTCTCTAGGAGGTCAACGACACACTGTACCCATGTCGCCGCCGCCGCTGATGAATTCACCCAGGACCTCAGCTTGCGGAGCCAAACTCACACAAGCTCGCCTCCGGCAGGAAATTTTGCGAGTGCACACTCGCAGGATAAGTTTAAAGTGGACACAGACACTTGCGGCGATGCACGCCCTTTTCTTATGCTTTGGAAAAAAACTCACACGTCTGCAAACAAAGGCTTACATGATGCTTATAAAGACTCAATCATGCACCGTCGAGCAACAGCCTCAAACCGGGTCTCACGCGCACGCACGCATGATCTCCACACGGCCCGGGCTTCCACTCGTGCATGAGCCACTCACTCATGCGCATGAACCGGGCGTCCTCCGAGCTGACCGGGAGCTACGCTCCAACGTGCTCCTCCACTTATGCATGCAGCTAACAAACCTGAAGACTCACTCCACTAACACATGCAACGTGCTAACTAACTAGCTAGATGATTAACTGACGCACACCAACAACTAGCTCATGCCTCCACGAGAACACATCTCGCCTTTCAGCAACCTGCATGCTAACTAATGCAAATACTCAAATATGAACAAGTCATGATTATTCCTAATATTGCCTCCCCTAATCTTGACTTGCGCACTCAACGCTTCATCACAGAAGGGTTGCTTCGTTATTGGCCTTCGCAAGCAGCGCCTCTTCCTGCTTCTTCTTTGAACATTCATGGGAGAAATGTCCTCGCTTGCCGCAGTTGTAGCACTTGCCTTTCTTGTTCTTTGAATTGCCCTCGCCGTACTCAGAGTAGGTGCTGTTGCTCCGTCATCATCGTTGTCGCCACCACGCCACCACCACCACGGCCGTTTCACAGCGCCGCCGCGACGCGCTGGCTGTCCTTGTTGCGTCGGCGACGACGATGTGCCTCCCATCGCTCCTCCGTGAGAAGCGATTTGCGGTCGCGCTCGCCCTCCAAGCTCGACGCCGCCGCACGCGCCTCCGCCACGCCAGCAGCGCCGACGAAGTTCCTCCAAATGACATCTTCTTGAAGTCGGCGAACATCACGATGGAGCATGCAATTTGGTTGAACCTCGATGGCACAACCCGCAGCATCTTCTTGACGACGCGCTCGTCCTCCATGTCCTCCCCCAACTCGCGTAGCTCCGCGGCGATGGAGCCGATCCTCACGGCGAAGTCGTCGATCGCCTCGCCGTCCTTGAACGCCGCATTCTCGAACTGCTTGAGGAGGTGTTGCGCCTTGGCTTCCTGCACACGCGTGTCTCCCACACGCAGCAACTTGATCGCCTCCCAAGCCTCCTTGACCGTCTTCTTCGCGACGAGCCCAGACTTCATCTCCGGCGGCACACCGCGGAGAATGACAGCCAGTGCCCGTCGATCCTTGCCGCGCTCGGCGTTGTCGCCCTCCACGGCATCCCAGAGCTCCATGCCCTCCAGGTTGCACTGCACTTCAAGTGCCCACTCGCGGTAGTTCGTCTTCGTCAGCTTCGGGATCTCGACGCCACCAAAACCACGCTCCACCACGACCGTACGCGGCGAGCTGGTGCCTTCCTTCACATCACCACCGGCCATCGTCGTTGTCGTCGGACCTCTGCGTGGGATCACGCGCTTCTTCTTCGGTGGCTCTCGTGGTGGACTGAAGGAACCACCGTAGTACATACACCGACTCTGGTACCAAATGATGGATTCACCCAGGACCTCAGCTTACGGAGCCAAACTCACACAAGCTCGCCTCCGGCAGGAAATTTTGCGAGTGCACACTCGCAGGATAAGTTTAAAGTGGACACAGACACTTGCGGCGACGCACGCCCTTTTCTTATGCTTTGAAAAAAAACTCGCACGTCTGCAAACAAAGGCTTACATGATGCTTATAAAGACTCAATCACGCACCGTCGAGCAACAGCCTCAAACCGGGTCTCACGCGCACGCATGCATGATCTCCACATGGCCCGAGCTTCCACTCGTGCATGAGCCACTCACTCATGCGCATGAACCGGGCGTCCTCCGAGCTGACCGGGAGCTACGCTCCAACGTGCTCCTCCACTTATGCATGCAGCTATCAAACCTGAAGACTCACTCCACTAACACATACAACGTGTTAACTAACTAGCTAGATGATTAACTGACGCACACCAACAACTAGCTCATGCCTCTACGAGAACACATCTTGCCTTTCAGCAACCTACATGCTAACTAATGCAAATACTCAAATATGAACAAGTCATGATTATGCCGCTGACCTACTGTACCGAACCACCTTCCCCGCCATCATTTCCCGCGTACGTGGATAGGGACGCCAGCTCACCACCAGGTGTCGCCGGAGATATTTCTCCTGGCCACCGTCTTCCTATGAGCTTGCGATGGCTATTAAAGCCGGCCATGGCTGCCGAGCTCACCATCCCCACTCCCGTCGCCAACTCGGTCTCTACTCTCCCTTTCTCTCCCTCTTCCTCTCCCTTCCCTCCTTCCCCTCTCGGAGCTGCCTACGCCAGCGGCAATCCTCGCCGGAGTCAAAGCCACCGCTGAGACCGCCGTCGTGCTGCTCTTGCCATCCCTTCTGCTCTGCTTTGCTCTTCCCTGCCTTGCTTTGCTTCATCCTTGTCCACCTCCCTCCATCTTCGTCTCCCTTGCTCTGCTCCTCCCTTCTTTCCCCACTTTGCCGGCGACCGCCACCGCCCTACACCCCGGCTCGCCGCGCCCGGGACCGCCACCGGTGTCACGCGCCCTGTTTCCCCTCCGCCTCGCCCTCTCCCCCTTCTACCCACACTCCCTCTCTTTCCACACCGAAGCGCCGCCGAGCACCATTGCCGCTACCGTCACCGGTACTCTGCTCTCCGCCAATCCTCCTCTCTCCCTATCCCTCCATGAGGATGAGGATGAGGACGACGGGCAATGGCCCGTGACCGAGCGGCCACGCCACGTGAACCAATGGTCGCGCCCCACGTCGCCCTTGGGACCCACGGGGCAGCTAGTGACCCACTCTCTCTCCACCCCCCCTTTCTTCCATAGTCCCGGTCCACTTCGACCATAGAGAGGGAAAGAGCCGGTCCACCGATCGGTGCATAGCATAGTGTGGACCAGCGCCAATCAACCCTGAAGGATGAC